AAAAAAAATAGAACTACCATATGATCCAGCCATCCCATTTTTGGATATTTACCCAAAGGATTTGAAATCACGATGTTGAAGAGACACCTGCACTCATATGTTCTTTGCAGCATTCTCATAGTCAAGCTATGGAAACAACCTGTCAACAGATGAGTGGATAAAGAATGTATGATACATATGTATAATGAAATGTAAATCGTGACTCTAGCTAACAATACCGTACTGTATAGTTGAAATGTCCTAGTATAGATCCCAAGTTTCTCACCATAAAAGAAAGGTAAGTATGTGATATGATGGATATGTTAGTAATTAGTTGATTGTGGTGATTTGTTCACAATATATAAGTACATCAAATCATCCAGTTGTACACCTTAAATATATTCAATAAAAAAAATAAAAAAATAAAAAGCATAGTATCAGAAACTCTAGCAGAACAATTAGGTAAGGAAAAGAAGTAAAAGGCATACAAATTGGAAAGGAAGAAAAATTATCTCTTTGCAGATGACATGATTTTATATGTAGAAAACCTTTAAAATTCTAGAAAAAAAAAGAATAATTAGAAGGGAAATCAAAACCACAATGACAAACCACTTCAGAGTCATTAGGATGGTTATTATCCAAAAAACAATAACAATAACAGAAAATAGCAAGTGCTGACCAGAATATGGGGAAACCACATTGCTGGTGAAAATTTTAAATGGTGCATCCGATTGGAACAAATTATGGTGATTGTTTAAAAAATCACACATAAAATTCCCATATGATCTAACCATTCCACTTCTAGGTATATATTTGAAATTATTGAAATCAGGAACTCTTACAGATATTTGCACACAAATATTCATAGCAGCATTATTCATGATAAGCAAAAAGTGAAAATAACCAAATTACCATGTATGAATGAATGGATAAACAAAATGTAACATACACACACAGTGGAATGAATTCCTGGACTTAACGTCAGTCTGTGTCTGTGATCCTAACAAACAGTAATAGAGAACTTTTGTGTAGAAATAGCAGTCAGTTCTTTGAATGTCTTATGATATCCTCCAAAATAATTTTTTTCTTAAGAGAGAGGGAGCAGGGGAGGGGCAGAGGGAGAGGGAGAGAGAGAATCCTAAGCAGGCTCCATGCTCAGCAGCACTGAGCCGGACGTGGGGCTCAATTCTGAGATCATGACCTGAGCAGAAATCAAGAGTCAGACGTTTAACTGACTGAGCCACCCAAATGCCCCTCCTCCAAAATTATTTTTAATGATTCCCTGACAAGTCATTTGGGTCATTCTTCCAATCTTCTGAAAGCAAAGAACGGGGAACCACTAAAAAAAAAAAAAAAAATTCTAAACATGTCATTCACATTGTCAACACCACAGGAATAATGTTCTTAATTATCCCTTTGCGTAGTGTTCTAGAAATCTTGACTTTATTGTGATTTATAAGGGTAATGCAAGGCAAGGAAGGTTAAACAGGCTTATAATGAATGAGCTAGTTTGAGTATTTTCAGTGCGCACTGGGGCATACCGGTTGTTTCTAAGTTGTTTGTTACCTGTACTTAGGGTGATTGGGGCAGGAGAATAGTAGCCCAGAGTGTTAAAAGCCCTGTGAGATCCCACAAAGAAGGTAATTGGGGGTTGGGCTCTGTATTGTCTGGTTTGCATAAGAAAGACACGCTCACAAGTAAGTAGTTTTCACTCCCTAGGATTTAGCTAGCCTTGGGAGAGGCAGTCTCTCTCCAGTGTCAGCAAGGCCCCAGATGTCAAAACATCAGAAAATACAGAAAATAAAAAGCATGATTAATACATAAACTAAACAGAAACAGTCTGCCCAGATGGAGTTAATGGTCTAGTGCCATCTTGACCAATAGAAATACAGTATGAGCCACACCAAAAAAAGTAAAAACCAAAGAAAAAGTTAAAAGGAAAAGGTGAATTTAATTTTAATAATTATTTTTAACACAAAGGTAAAGGAATTATAATTTCTAGCTGGGAACAATATGAATAAATTGTTAATTAACTTTATATTTTATACTAAGTCTTTGAAATGCAGTGCATTATATCATTATTTCAATATGTAAGCAATATGAAATTACTAATTTTGTATTCTTTTTTCTTATGAAATCTTTGAAATGCCATGTGTTATTTCAACAAAGAAACAATACATACAATTCACTTATTAGTTATTCTAACATGTTTGTCTAAGTCAGAAATGCAGTGTGTTATCACAAAATGGAAATAACAGGTTGTTAACTATTTTTATTATCAACTTTTACATTTTTTTCTCTAAGTCTTTGAAATGCAGTTTGTTATCATTTCAAGGTTGTAAGCAATAAGAAAAAAGTAATTTAAAAAATTTTAGTGAGTTTTTGAAATGCATGTTTTATTTCAACATGGAAACAACATCAACACATCATTGTTACTTTTACATTTTTCTTACTAAGTCTTTAAAATGCAGTCTGTTTTCATTTCAACATGGAAAGACTATACACAAAGTAGTAATTATTTTCCTTTTTTTTTTAGTAAGTCATTGAAATTCAATGTTATCATTGTAACATATGACAGGAATAAACTTAGATTCTTATTCCTCAATAAGTCTTTGAAATGCAATGTTTTATCATTTTGACATGTAAATATATAACAAATCGTTAACATTTTTTCTTACCAAGTCTCTGAAATAGTGTTATTATTTCAAAATGTAAGCAATATAGGGGTGCCTGGGTGGCTCAGACGGTTAAGCAAGCATCTGCCTTCAGCTCAGGTCATGATCCTGGAGTCCCAGGATCAAGCCCCACAGCAGGCTCCCTGCTCAGTGTGGAGTCTGCTTCTCCCTCTGCCCCTCACCCCACTCTATCTTTCCCTCTCTTTCTCTCTCTCTCGTTCTCTCTCAAATAACTAAATAAAATCTTTAAAAAATATAAACAATATTAAAAAAGTTAATTTACATTTTTTCTTTGTGGTCTCTGATATGCCATACATTATCATTTCAATATATAAAGAATATAAGTAAGTTATCAATTTGTTATTCTATATCTTTTGTTTCTCACCAAGTCTTGGATATACACTGTGCATTTAATACTTAGAGCAAATTTCTAGTGCTCAGTAGCCACATATGGCTAGTGTATACCATAATGAACAGTGTAACTCTAGTGGAAGAGCAGAGGGAGCAAATACATATGGAATTATGTGTACCATGAAGGAAATGTACATGGTACACTAAGAGAGAGCAGCAGCAGAGTCAATTTACTTGGATAAGAAAGAAAAAACCTATCTGAGGAGGAAACATTTAAGCCATGACCTGAGAGTTATACAACAGCATAAAGAGGCCAACATGGATTGAGCAGAGTATGTGAGAGAAAAGGTGAAAAAAATCTGGGGTGGAGGGGTGGTAAATAATTTTCTCAAATGCCCTAAAAAAGAGTGGAGAAACTGACAAATCATAGGAATATCTATACTCTGAGTGGTTTGAGATCAGGGACTTTATAGTTCGCAGCATCTGGAACAGTACCTAAATCGTAAGAGTTATTTGGTGAATGTATGTGAAATAAGGAATAACAGAGCCAGAGGTCTGAGACCTGGGAAAGCAGGTAGCAACATGTTAATAAAAACATCAGTAGGAAAAGGCACTGCATAGGGAATATGGCCAATGATATTGTAATAGGGTTGTACGGTGACAAAGGGTAGCTACACTTGTGGTGAGCATAGCATAACATATAGAGAAACTGAATCACTCTTCTGTACACTTGAAATGAATGTAACATTGTGTGTCAACTATACTCAAAAACAAACAACAACAAAAGACACCAGTAGGTAATGGGCATAGTTTGTTTCTTTTTACTCATATAGGATTTCTCATAAGCAACCCCAGGCAATCGTACATACAAGAAGTTTGCAGGACCCTAGAGGATAAAATTATTGGCTTAAATAACTACCACAACCAGGAAGAGTTTCAATTGTTCTGACTTGTGTCACATGTCCATAAGTGGATAAATGGACCAATCAGTGTGACAAGAAAAATGATGGTGCCATCACTGGGTTAGCCTATGTCATATACCCAACATTGTGGTTAGCAACCAGAAAAGGATGTAGAGGGGAATGAGCAAAAGATCCACAGGACCTTTCAAATTCTTCTATTTCCTTTTTAGAGTTTTTCTTTATAGAGGTCAATTACATATCCAATCTCCCTAACCCCAGTTTCCTCAAACAGTAGAATTTTATCTGTGTGTCTAACAAATTGGAGCTTCAGACAAAACACTGAATGCTTTAATGGTCACACATTAGTGTTGAAACAACTCCTTGTACTATGGAAATCACTCAGGACAAGTGGTCCAGGTCATGTCATCTCGCTGTACCACCTGCAGCATTGCTGTCAATTGGGCCTGCACTTCAGCAAGTTTCTGTCGGTCCAAACTTCCAGGAAAATTCCATTGTTCATAGCAGTGGACAGGAACAGGATAAATAACATGCTTCAGCTCCATCAAGCATGTTAAATGCTGCAGAAGGTCCATGAGCAGAGGCATTGTAATGGGGTTGAAGGCAAAGCTAAGGACATGGAGGTGGGTACAGTGGCTCAGGGCTGGGAGGACAGCAGAGAGAGTAGAATCAGTTACCAGGCAATTATTTATCTCCAGATACTGCAGGGTGCCTGAGACTTTCTCTAGCAGATTCCGGAAGGGCTCATAAACTTCTGAGAATATCTGATTGTTACTGAGATTCAACAGCCTTAGGTAGGTGGCCTGAGAACTCTGAGACAGGACAGTGATATCTCTGTTAGACAGGCCACAAAAAGATAGACACAATATATCCAACTGAGGTGGCAGGATTCTGTAGAGATAAAAAAGAGCCTATTTCAGAAAAATGAGGATTGGATCAGGGCAGCGAGACCGGAATTATAGATACGCAAGGCTCTAGAATAAACCAATTTGTACGTATTTTGCAACAGTGGTTAACAACGTGGGCTTTGCAATCAGACTTAATAGGCTTGTGACCCTGAGAAAGTTACTTTTCCCCTCTGAGATACAGGTTTTTAATCTTTATAATGTACACAACAGTAATTATTATACATGGTTGTGGGAAAGATTAAGTGAAAAAAGTTGTATGTACTTGGTATATACAACAAAATCAATAATGGATCTTGTTCACTTACTCGGTGAAGATAGGTCTAGGAAAGCACCCAGCTGAGGGTTTCCTTTGACTAACTCCCAGAAAACAAGTTCTCCATTCAGGGTCTAAGCCTTGGAGAAAATACAGGAGCAAAATGATCTGGCAATGTTAAATACTGTGGCTAGCCCATGGGGATGTGCATCATCTGAATGTCTCCCCCTCCTCTCTAGAAAGCTGTAAACTCCAATAGAAGAAGAACTGAGTCTTTTTCACTAATATATTTACAAACTTTTCATACTGTTTGCACATGGTCAACTGAATGAATGAATAAATGAATGAGCACAGCTTTCTTTTCAAATATTGTCTGTCTCCTCACGAGATACCTTTCACTAGCCTGGCCAGTTTCAAACTCCTGCCAGTGCCCATGCTGATGTGGAAGGAGAAATAGGTTACAAGGACCCTGGGATATCCAAGTATGGTCTCTTCTCCTGTATTAAAAATGGGGTGTTCAGAGAACCGAGGTTCCTCCCCACCCCTTCACCTGAGCAGTTTATGCAGTTGATCTGTAAGGCAGAATAAAGCCAAGCTGAGCTCCTGGAGGTTGTCTAGTTGCCCAAGCTGGATGAGAAAAGCTCTGAAGTCTTCCCCCTTACGATGTTTAAAGGAGATGTTAGACAAACTAATGCTGTTCAGGTGGATCATCTGAGCCAAAAGGGTGGTGACTTCATTCAGATAAGCCTGATTCAATTCCAGGTGATCAATGCATCCCAGATCCAGAAACTGCAGGACACTTTTGTGGGCAGAGATTTTATCAATTTGCAAATCTCTGCAGCAGAGGTGCAAAGACCCAAAGCTCTGCTCAACTTTACTCTGAAGGAAAGAAAGGAATTGCTTTGTTCTCAAGGTACTATTGAAAGAAAGGTCCACTAATAATTCTATGGGCTTCTGGGTTGACGGAAGCTCAGACTCTGAATTAACAATTCCAAGGCACTTGACATTATGCTGGGCTTCTTCTGTTTTAAGCATAGAGTGTCGAGAGTAAACACAAGACTGAAAACAGAAAGGAAATGTGGTACTGATCTCTGAGCATGTTGTTCCACAGTCTGGGTCCTGTCTCAAATCTAGGATCCTCAGTTTTGACTCCCTGTATGGAGAAGAGTAGACAGAACACACATGGGAAGTAGCTGATTTTAATATAACCCAGCAAGATCAATGATGGGAAGCAGAAACAGAACTCTTTATCCCTGTTTTTCATTCCATATACCATTCACCAGTAAGCCCTTTTATACAAATTTAACATTTCACTCTTTACCCATACTTTCTTCACCTCTGGTCCTCCCCAGTCTCAACACCCATGTCCTTCTATGTAATCATACTCAGGAGATAGATCCACCACCTCAGTGACCTCTATTCTATAATCAAGCCTGTAAGACATTGGAGTCCCTAAGGTAACCCCACGTGTTAGACCAATAGCCACACAGAGATCTTCAGCATTCACCACTGGCTATTTTTGGGAGGCTGTTAGGTATCCCCCTGCCCCAGGCTCTAGCATATCCTTCTGCTGACTCACTATGTTTCTACTTGATACAGGCTTACCAAGAGGAAGAGTTCTGGTCAGGGTGGATCTGCAGACCATCAGTCATGGCTTCCAAGATTTCATAGTATGATTCTTGTATACTCAGTGCCCCAATATGGAGACAGTGAAAGGGCCAAGCCCTCACCATTGCTTTTAGTATCTTCTTATGCCCTCCCAAGAAGGCATCAATGAATAAGGGAACAAAGAGGTCTCTTGGGAGTTCTTCCAAGGCATGGATAGCTGCAGGCTCATTACTCAGTAGACTTTTTGCAGCAAGCTCTAGCAGTGTGGCTATGGCCTTCTGGTCCATCTTCATGAACGTGCTTCAGGGTGAGGAATATTTAGAAATCCTGAAAAGATATCTACAGTCTTATTTGCCTCCAAGATTAGCTATGAACAAGATGGTTATTGAATCAGACAGCCAACTCAGGTGACCTCTACTATACAAACAGAATAAAAATGGACTTCTATGTGTGTCTAAGTATATATGTGCATGCATATATATACATACATACATACACAAACACACATATATTTACATAAGATAAAATGCCATTAGAAATCAGAGGTAGGGCGCCTGGGTGGCTCAGTTGGTTAAGCGACTGCCTTCGGCTCAGGTCATGATCCCACGGTCCTGGGATCAAGTCCCGCATCGGGCTCCCTGCTCTGCGGGGAGCCTGCTTCTCCCTCTCCCACTCCCCCTGCTTGTGTTCCCTCTCTCACTGTGTCTCTCTCTGTCAAATAAATAAATAAAATCTTTAAAAAAAAAAAAAAAAGAAATCAGAAGTAAATTAGCAGAACACAATGCTAACCACTCAGCTGCTGTCTTCCCAATATTTCCTCCCAAAAGGATATAAACCAGTAAGAAGAAAAATGTAAATCTGCATAAAAGCTATATCCTTATCATTACTTTAAAATGGAAAATGCCAGAGGCGCCTGGGTGGCTCAATCTGTTAAGTGTCTGACTCTTGATTTTGGTTCAGGTCATGATCTCAGGGTTGTGAGACTGAGACCTGCATTGGGCTTCACAATGGGCATGGAGCCTGCTTAAGATGCTCCCTCTCCCTCTTCCTCTGCCCCTCCCCCACTCATGCTCACTTTCTCTATCTCCAAAAAATAAAATAAAATGGAAAATGCCAAACTTCAAAATAATTTTAAGTAAGAAAAAATCATAAAATCCCAGCACACAGTCTGTTACACTCTCATCACTAGGCTTTGTAGCAAGCAAAATCAGACCAAGAAAAGCTACAAGACATACAGAAGAAGAAAGATGGTGAGGAGCTTAAAGTTGCTCTAGAACTATAGCAGAATGACTAAGCACAAAACAAGTCTGAAAAAAATGTCCTGGAAGATGAGAGCAGGGAACCCACGGAAGGGAGTCCAAAATATGAGCATGTAAAAGGGCAGGAATGATTTAAAGGTTCAGTCTTTGAAAGACATAACTTCTAGAAAAAAATAAAGGCAAAAAGGAAGGAAGAAGCACACTTTAGCAATTGGGTATGACAGGAAAAATAAACAAAAGAGGAAGAGGAAGGATCTTGCAAGACATAAAAGAACCACAAAATCAGAGCACTCATAACTCCCTCGATTACCAAAACAAACATACAAAACAAATAAGGATCTGGACTTTGCTATAATGACAGAAAAGAACATCACAAAACTAAGACTCTTGTGAAACTACTATCATACAAATGAACAAAAGGAAAGGGAATTCCATATAAAAACATTGCAAAAAAGATGAGGTAACAAACTTCACACATATTAAACAACCATGAATCAGGAGACTCTGAGGTAACACTCCAAACAGAATTAAATATTCCAGCAAGCATCTGAGGATATGAAACCTACCTTGAATCAGAATGTTTTCAAAAATCTAAAAACAGAAATGTACTAAAAATAAAAGTACAGCATAGAGAATATAGTCAATAATATTGTAATAACATTGTATGGTGACATATCATACCTATACTTCTGGTGGTGAGCATTGTATAATGTACAGAACTGTCAAATCATTATGTTTTACACCTGAAACTAATATAACAATGTATGTCAACTATACTTCAATAATAAAATTTGTTTTTAAAAATCTGAAGTAAAGATTTTATATCTAGCTGGAGTGTTCTTCAACTATCACAGCCTACAGAAAAACAGTTTTTTAACATACAGGAACTTAGGAAATTCTCCATCACTCAGTCCTTCCTCAGGAATCTACTAGAGCAGAGGTCTGCAAATTGTGGCCAGATTATGCCAAATCTAGTCCACTGCTTGATTTTGTAAATAAAGTTTTATTGGAACAAAGCCGTGATCAACCATTTATGTATTATTTATGGATGCTTTTGCACTACAATGGCAAAGCTGTTATAACAGAGACACTGTGGCCCACAAGTTTAAAATATTTACCAAATGTCTCTTTACAGAATGTTTGTCAAGTAATCTTCTAAAAGATGAACTGAGAATGTAAACCTACATGTGATGACGGAAAATGTCACCAAAATATCTGATTTTAACAACTAATACTATAATCAAGGTAGGGGAAAAGAGGAAAGACTAATGTACAAATGTGTCATGTTGTGAAAAGAAAAACAGAAATCATTCAACTAAAAATGAGAGTAAGGAGAGAAACAGAAGAGAACAGAGTAAACTTTTTGCCATAATGCAGTAGGTGAATATTAAATGATACCAGTGGGGGGACGAAGAATGGACAAGATAGTAAACTGTTAAGAAAACAAGTGGTTAAGGGTAATTTTTTTTAAAGTATTAAACATGACAAAGAATATGTCTTGATGATAAAAGACAAGATTCACAATAAAAATGTAACACTTAGGAACATTTACTCACCAAGTAACACAGCAACCACTGTTATAAAGCAAAAGGGAAAGGAGACTTAGATTTTAAAAAAAAAGACAATAATAATAGGAGATTTAAGAAACCAGTTTCAGTACAAGATAGATCAAGTGGTATAAAAAAAGAATGCAGATGCAGAAAATGTAAACAACATAATCAATAAGGTAAAACACATAGTATACACACACACACAGAGACAGAGAATACAGAATATATTTTCTTGTCAAAAATTGATAATTATTTCAGAGAAACAGCATCATTAATTTCCATAAAGTAGAAATATTACAAACAATCCAATCACAATGCAACAAAAGTTAAACTACTAACAAAATGGAAAACAGAAAGGGCTTTCTACCTGCAAAAGTTTTTAAAGGCTCTGTTTTAAAAATGTTAAGTTAAAAAGGAGATACAAAGCTTGGTAGGAGGAAGATGGCAGTGGAGTAGGAGGACCCTACACTTGCCTTATTCCATGAACACAACTAGGTAACTATCAAATCATCCTGAATACCCCAGAAGTCGACCAGAAGATTGACAGAACAAATGCCACAACTAAAAGGAGAGAAGAGGCCACATCAAAGAAGGCAGAAAGTATGGAGACAGGGTTTAGGGGAGAAATGGATCACGTGTGCTGTGGAGTGGAGGGAAACATGGTCACAGAGAAGGACAAGAGATAGAGGAGCACCCAGGGGAACAGAAAAGGAGAATGTTTCCCCAAAGCCATGGGTTTGGAAAATGAGAAGGTCTGAATTATGAGTTCTTGCATCCAGAGGGGCTTAAAGCCTGGAGTTTTAAAGGTCAGTGGGCTTGGCTGGGATAAAGCCTGCAGGACACTGTGTTACTCTGGAGAGAAGGTAGACAAACCCAGGGGCAGACAGTGTAGAAACAGCATCCAAAGAGCATCTGAGGCACACAGTGGTGAGATGATTCACTCTTCTCAGAGTACATCCCTGAGAGGCAGCATTCACAGAGACACTTCGCTGGGATAAAGGAGCTGGCCAGCACCATTTCCCTCCCCTGCTTCTCAGCATAAACACAGAGCCACCTATCAGAAGCAGTGCACTGCTGACACTGGCTGCATAACTTGCTTACACCAAGTCCCACCTCCCTGCATTCCCATGGAACTACCCGTCCCAGTCATGCTTGCCTCAGTCCCACTGTGGCAGGCCCCTACCCCAGAAGACCAGCACAAACCCCTGCCCAAACCACATCTCCCGACCAGAAAGTTCTGCAGGGCCTCAGTTCTGGTGGAGGAGGTGTCCAGTCTCACATAAGCAGACCAGAGGATACCTAGTTAAAACTTGCCACATTCAGGCCGGGGACCAAACACTGCCAACAGCAAGCAAGGAGAGACTCTGTAGATGACTAGCCTGAAGTGTAGAGCTCAACAACAGTTGAGCACATGCAGCACACATCAAAGACACTCCCTGAAGCACCAGGCCCTGGGCACTACATGACTTCTTCATAGGACCAGTACTTTTAGGAGCAGGAGACATAACTGGCTTTTCTAACACAAAAAAGAAGGCAGAGACTTAGACAAAATGCAAAGATGGAGGAATTTATCCCCAGTGAAGAACAAGATACAGTCATGACCAGAGATCTAAGCAAAACAGATATAAGTAACATGCTGGATGGAGAATTTAAAGCAACAATCATAAAGATACTCATTGGGATTGAGAAAAGAATGGAAAACTTCAGGGAGGTCCTTACTGCAGAGATAAAAGAGTTAAAAAACAATCAGTCAGAAATGAAAAACAAAATAACAGATTTAAAACACACTTGATGCAATGAACAAAAGAATGGAAGAAGCAGAGGAATGAATAAGTGATATAGAAGATAAAATAATGAAAAATAATGAAGCTGAAAAAAAAGAGAAAGAATAATGAAACACAAGAACAGACTTAAAGAACTCAGTGACTAAATCAAAAGTAATAATTTTTGTATTATAGGAGTCCCAGAAGAAGAAGAGAGAAAAGGGGGCAGACAATGTATTTGAGGAAATAACAGTTGAAAATTTCCATAATCTGGGGAAGGAAACAGGCATCCAGATCCAGGAGGCACAGAGAACTCCCATCAAAATCAATGAAAGCAGGCCAACATGAAGACATATTATAATTAAATTTGCAAAATACAACAATAAAGAAAAAAATCTTAAAAGCAACATAACAAAAGTCCATAACTTACAAGGGAAAACTTATAAGGCTAGCTGGAGATTTTCCAAAAGAAACTTGGCAAGCCAGAAGAGAAAGGCATAATATATTCAATGTGCTGAATGGGAAAAATCTGCAGCCAAGAATACTCTACCCAGCAAGGCTATCATTCAGAATAGAAAGAGAGATAGAGTTTCCCAGACAAAAATTAAAGGAGTTCATGACCACTAAACCAGCCCTGCAAGAAATATTAAAGGTGACACTCTGAGTGGAAAAGAGAGTCCAAAAGTAACAAAGACAAGAAAGGATCAGAGAAAAT